TTCCCACATGGCTGGTGGGATGGTGAACTGCCGAGTGGGAAGAGCCAAGTGTAGGAAAGGTCCAGTCCAATATTCAAGTGCACTGAGAAGGGATGTGGCTCCAGCACAAGTTCCCCTTTTATACATCAGCTTTGGGCATCTATGTGAGAACTAGACCACCTCAATGACCCCAATGGAAATGTCCTTCCCTTCCTTTGGCTCTTGGGCAATGGTGGTGATGGTGGGAGAGGGACTGTGTCTTATGAGAGGCCCAAGCTGGATCAGAGCAAGGCAACCTACCTCTCACGTTGCTTAGCATGGGGTCCTAACGCGGTCATTAGCAGTTTTTGCCATGACCATAAAAATGTGGTAATGTTACAGACTGCGGTAGTGCTTGTCAGCCTGTATATTTTGAGTTTGTGTTGAGGATCCTACTGCATGTTAAAGGAATTTGGCTCGTGCATCTTTTTGACGGTGGTGTGGAAATATTTTTGACACTGTGCAAATGCAAAGGAAATGAAGGTAGGCTGCAGAAAGCTGAGTAAAATGCATTCATAGACATGCTGCAGTTATCTACCACCCAGGGAAACTGGGGTTTTTTGACCAAAAAAAAAAAAAAGGAAAGGAAAAAAAAAAACACTGCCAGGATATTTCAGTTCAATTTAGCTTGTTTGCTAGGATTGTTTGTGGATAGTTACAAGCTCAGGGCTCGGTTGTAATGAAGTTACCATGGTAATGTGATAACATGAGCCGATGTCAGTCTGATTTGCTGATAAGATTTATACCCCACTATATTATCCAATGCAATTAAGCAATGCTTAGAAAATTAACATTGTAATAGATGAAAATAAAGTATCAGAGGCATATTCATGGCTGTGGGTCTTAAGCATAGCCCCTAAGGATACCATGTCCATGGGCTGGGTTACGATAAGCAAAGGAAGAAATTACTTTCATTTTACAAGCAGAGAATTGCGACAATCCTCTTGATTTCCACAATTTCCTGCACCGACTTTAGCATGGCTGATCAGAAATCAACCTAGGGAAAAGCGATGAGGGTTAATAGTAATAATAATTTAATCTAAACCGAATCGGATGAGCTAGAAGACAAAACACTGAGCATGCATCGGGAAGCAGAGGTCAGCTCCCCGTGAGAAGCAAGTCAATGGTGAGATGGGGGGCAGAAACTCCCTGTCCAAGTTTCTCCACTGGCAAAATGCACAGGGATCACTTGATTTCCTAGCTATGAAATGCCCAGTGCAAAGGCAAAGCAGCCCTTTACCACGCAAGGGAGGCTCACAAGAAATGAGCTGTTTCACAGCTGTTTTTGTACCAGGCAGATTTACATCTCTCATAACAACCTGGCAGCAGAGCTCCTTGTTTGTGGTTTCTTTTCCTTCCTTGCAGATAACTCACTGACTTTCTTTGCAGTTTCCACGTTCTTGCCTAGAATGGGGAATATGAGTTTATTTGGCTTTGGAGACTTTGCAGCTGATGAAACCTGTGAAGGAATAACAAGTTTACACTGGAAGGTAGGAGCAAGTCCTTCAGCTGGTGCACAAAGCCAGGAGAGGAGTGCAAAACACTCTTGGACTCAGAGTTTTTTGTTTGTTTGTTTTCATGTGAGAATCCTGTTACTTTCTCAATATTTGTTAGGGAGTTGGGGAAATAGAAGCATCCAAGGSTTGCTCATTTGGCAGTAATTTAGAGATTGGGATCTTTTTATTCCACACTGTTTTTTTATGGGAATGATTGACTGTGGTTTCTAGTCTTCTCATAGTCTTACTAGTCTTCTCATATTTTTTTCTTCTTCCTTCTTTGCTCAAATATCTCTTTCACCTGAGGATGAGTCCTAGCAAAGAGGTCTTCTCCATTGCCTCGGCTCACGGCCTTCTTCTGGCTTTGGGTTTCATCTATATTCTGTCAACCCTGGTTGACCTCTCTGTCCTCCTGCTGATGGACTTTGCTTACTTCTCTCTTCCTTTTTTTCTCATCTTCTCCTCCTCCCTCACTGTTGCCTACTTGTGCTGGTGTCCTTCATTAGTTCATCTCACACTTACCACTTGTGTGCTTTGGGCTTGGTGGTTTCAGGTCCTACAAGTGAATGTGACAGAGGAATCTCTGGATTTCTCATGGTTTCATGAGCTTCTAAGCCCTATGGGAGAGAATACACGCAAGAGATGATGGCCCGTCCTGCCCCACCTTTGACTTTTGGCCCCSTCTTTCATTCTGTCTCTTCCAACTGCTGTTTCTTGAGCAGTTGATGTGATTTATACTTGTTTTCTTTGGTCTTTCTGATGCCTTCAAGCTCTGTCTTTCTGGCTTCTCCTTCTCTCCATGCCCTTCACTCTGCTAAGCTCATTCCAGCACAGGTTTTTGCAGCCTTGCCCTCACTGTTGGTGTCTGAGGTCACATCTTGTTTTCCTGCTGTGACTCACATACTGTTGACCCTGCTTGCTGGCCGACCACTCTCCCTGTCCCCTGCTGCAGCTTCCTAATTCTCCCCTTCGCCTCCTTATTGCTGCTTGTAGTCACTCCGTGCGTTCAGCTCCGTGGAAGCTGCTCTGTCCTCCTCACATGCTGTAGACAGTTGACTGTTCTGGCAGCGACTGCATTTCTCTTCTTTCCTGTGACTGATGTGCTGGGAAGGATGAGCACAGAAGTGTGAGCAAGTGGGACATGACACTGTCCACATCTTGTGCCCTTTGGAGTGGAAGGGACTTCTAAAGTGGACTCAGAAAGGAGGAATAGGTCACAAATCTGCAAAGTCACAAGTGGCAAAATAAACCTGAGCGTTAAGAAGGGAGCTGCCTAGCACTGYGTTTTATGTTTGACGGTATGTCTGCACTGTACAAAAACAGCATGAAAATAGCTTACACAGCTTTATGTACCTATAGCATGAAGCTTTGCAAACAAAACTTATATGAAACATGGAGTTACATGCAAAATCTGACTAACCACATCCAGAGAGTTTCTGGTACCTGTTGGAGAAAACAGCTCTGCAGGACAACAGGGCTTTCTGCACGAGCATCCTCAGAGGGTGCTGCATGCCAAGCCCTGGGCAGGAGACACTGCCAGGCAGGTGCTGTTAGGTCAGCACTGGTGACCTGGAGGTTTTGGGGCAAGGACTGGCCCTGGTTTTGGACCTATTATGGCCCAGATATGCAAAATGAGTGGAGATGCAGTGGCCTGGTGTGGGATTGGTTTTTATTTCCAGTTTTGCTTAGCAACGCCAGTCCAGCCTCTCGTCCTGCGGTAACTCTTGTTTTTTGAAGCATTTGTCAGCTGCTTCTATGGCTGCAATTTCATGGTCTCTTGGATCTGGCAGGAGCGACACTGCTCCCCAAAGAAGCCTTCCCTGGCTGCCAGTTCCTGCAYCGCCTTGGTCCTCCCTTTCCTAGGGCTACGTCTGCATGAGCAGCCGGGACAGCACAAAGGGAGCGGATTTACAGAGTGAYAGAGCTGTGTGAGGACCTGCCATCCATGCTATGGATGTTTCAAGGGGAGCTACTGGTGCTGATGCCCATTAATGACCATGCATTAGCAGATGGAGGGCTTTAGGTACACTCCTGCAGCACTGGTTCCCCTCTTATCCCCCGCTAGAATGAACTCAGTGCATTTGTTTTCTGTGATTGGATCCCAACAGTGAGAGGCCAGAACCATGCAGGGAGGTGATACCAAAGGCTCTCCTCACCCAAGCTCTAAAGTCAACACAGACACCRGGTGTTGACACGGCAGCTTGAAGAACCAGGCCCTGGAGCACATTAAAAGCAAAAAGGAGCAAGTTGTAGCTCAGATTATCCTCTGATCTGATGTGTGTCACCTTTTGTGCATTTGGGTCAAGATTTAGGAGGGGCTGAGGACTGGTCATGAGCTACAGTAGCAAAGTGGATCTCCTTTCTGGAAATGAGATTATATGGGTTTAAAAGGACTGTGAATTCACGGTCTGTATTGGCCACGGGCTCCCTGCAAGAGGGACCAACACCCACAATGAACAAAGTACGTATAGTGCACCCTGTGATATACTGCACATAGCATGGGAATGGGGAGACCACTTTCATCTGAGACCTTTCAGAGCTGCTCTAATGCAAACAGTCATAATCTTGTGAGGAACACAGGAATGAGCATTTAATTAGACCCATAATGTCTGTGAGAGCGACTGTGCAGCAGGCWTGCATCCTTCCAAACAAATCCCATATTGTGAAGGGGTCCCTGAGTGCTTCCTTCTTCTCTTTTCCCTGTCTCTCCACCCCAAACATGCCTGGAACGTCATTTCTGCTCCATTCGCTACTAACATCTCTTTTTTTCTTTTACGTCTGCATTTCCCCCCCTCCCTCTCTCCACAACATGCCCATTGAAAACCCTAATTGCAGATCCCAGGCTGCAATTAGTTTGCAGCCTGTATGAAGTTCGCTTCATTACGGCTCTTTTGGCTGCCGGACACGAACGGCCTTGGAAGCAGCAGCGCCTGCCCAGGGCACCCACCCTCCATCCTCCGCTTGGGCTGGCACCCTGCTCCAAGCGCTGCCATCCCGCTTTCTGATTCCCACCTCTTTCCCATTTCCCTCTCCTTCACCCTCATATAGGGTTTTTTTTCCCCCCCTCCATAAGCTCCACGGTTCGTGCTGCGGTTTCAGGAGCCCCAGACGCCGCATGGCACCGAGCCGGCTCCGCCGGCGCCAGGAGCGAGGTGCGCGCGGCTCCGCTCAGCGCCGCGCTCGGGGGCTTGGCCCGGCCACGAGACCCTCCCGTCCTTGTCCCCCCGGCTCTTCTCGTCCCCGGGGGGGCCCTCAGGGGCAGGCGGCTGCGGGGGGAACGCGGGGCGGGAGGAGGAGCGTCGCCCGCCGCAGCGCGAGGAGGAGGAGGAGGAGGAGGAGGAGGAGGAAGGCGACCGCGGGCGTGGGGAGGCGGGCGCGGGGCGGGCGCGGCGGCAGCCGAGGAGGGAGCCGGGCGCCCCGCGGCCCATTCGCGAGCGGCGGCGGCGGCGGCGAGAGCCCCCGCGTCCCCCTGCCCGCGGCGGGAGCATGAAGGCGAGCGCGGCGGCGGGAGCCGTCCCGGCGGCGGGGCCGGGGCCGGGGCCCGGGCCGCCCGATGCGCCCCGGCGGGACAAGGGCGAAGCGGAGGCGGAGCGGCTGCGCACCCGCGAGCGCCTCGAGGCCACGCTGGCCGGCCTGGGCGAGCTGGACTATCTGCGGCAGCGGCAGGAGCTGCTCGTGCGGAGCCTCCTGCTGCGGCGGCCGCCGGGCGCCCGCGGGGAGCCCTCGGGCGAGGCGCCGCCGCGGAGCCTCGAGGAGAAGTTCCTGGAGGAGAACATCCTCCTCCTGCGCAGGCAGCTGGTGAGCCCGGGGACCTCGGGGGGACGTGGCCGGGGAGGGTCCCAGCCCCGGCGGGGCGCCGCCGCTCTCACCCCGGGACGCCCCGTCGGCGGCTCCCGCTTGGCCGGGAAAAGGGGAAAAGAGGAGGAAAAGGGAGAGGAGGAGGAAAAGGGAGAGGAGGAGGAAAAAGGAGAGGAGGCCACCCCGCCGTTATCTCCGCACCGTCCCGTCCCGGCTGCCGCTTCCATTCAAGGCAAAGAGCCCGGCTCCCCTTGCCTTGAATGGAAGTGCGGCGCGAGCTGCCGCGCTGTCAGCCCGGCACCGGGGGCCCTAAATCAAGGGGTGCTTTTGTGGCCCGGGCGCTCCGGGGCGCTGGGAGGCGGCGGCAGCCCCGGCGCGGGGCTCSCGGGGCTCCGCGCCCGGCGCCCTTTGTGCCTGGCTCGGCGCTGCCCTTCTCCGAGGSACAACTTGCACCGTGTGATTTATTATTCATTTCATTTTGTTCCTGTTAGCCTCTCGGCTCCGTTAATGAACGGGTTATTTCTTCCCGGAAAAGATAAAAAACAAACCATCTCTCTGGTTCCTAAAGGCTCGGCTGCCAAACAGCCATAGGAAAGTACCGGGAATTATTGCTCCGAGATCAGGATTTGCGGTAGCACTTTAATCTGTGCACTTGACATTGCAGATCTGAACCAGATGCAGCAGCGCTCGCTGGGGGAGGGGAGGGGGGGCCACGACACTGGTGGCAGTAGGTGGCGCAGTGAGTTACCGCTTGAACCCATCCCCTCCGGCAGCTTCCATCGGAAAGGTGGGAGAAGACTTGGATTGCCCTTCTGGTTCTCCAAGGACCCTGTGATGCCAGCGCATCTTTTCTTTTTCCGACGGCCTCCCTAAATACTCCTGGTGATCACTTGCCCTTCGCCCGAGGACCGGCCCATCCCAAGGGAAACATTGTCCTTGGTTTAATGGGTTTTGCGCTAGAGCATCAAAACTCTTTGCAATGAAAGCAGCAGAGCACCGTTGGGTACCGATCAAACGATGCACTTAGGAAAAAGAATAAACCTTCCCCTTGCTCTCCTCAAAGCCGGAACAATTACAAAGTGTATCAAACCGGCGAGCAAAATTACAATACACAGAGGGAAACTGATTGCCTTGGCTGTGGGTTAATGAGTGTCTTACAAAATCATTTCTTATTGCTTATTTTGTACCATCAAATTACCTTCATAAATAGCTTTAAAATCCATCTCACAGCAATTTAATACGATTATAATGGGAGAAGAGGAAGAATTATTCTTCCTTCCTGCTGCAATTGTAAAACTAATAAACGGACTCTGATCCCAGCTCTGGGAATCTTCCTCTTTACATGGTGGAATATAAGCTTATAATGAGCCAGGGAGTGAGGCGGTTACCGCACTACAGACACTTGTTGGCCGAGCTGCTTCAGCCTGTTGTGGGAACAGATGTGATCGTGGCCGACGTCAACGTGGTGSTGAAAGCCCCTTGCTGCACGGGTGAATATGTCCTTTCACTGAGCTAGCCCGTGTCACGCGAGCACGTCTGGCTTTAAAAGGGTGCCACGCAAAACACCGTGTTTGGGTGTCCCACAAAAGTTGGGACAACCCGGTTCCTGCAAGGAGTGCTTTGCCAGCCACTGGTCTTCCTAGGATGTGGGGAATGCTCCTAGCGTCCAACTGGCTGGAAGAGGTTGGAATGAAGCACCCCTATAGTTCTTAARCTAAATGGTCCAGAGTGCCCATTTAGATTTTCCTTTATTTATTTTTATTTCCTTATTTTTTAGAGAACATTGACAAGGTGTTTATAGGATGCTGAGCTGGAGAAAGGCTTTGGGGCCCCTTTTCCCCCAGCCCCACCACTGACGGAGCTGACGTTGTTTGTCCTGTTGTTTCCTAGAACTGCTTGAGRAGGAGGGATGCTGGCCTATTGAATCAGCTACAAGAGCTGGATAAGCAAATAAGTGACCTCCGGCTGGACGTGGAAAAAACGACGGATGAGCACCTTGAGACAGACAGTCGTCCAAGTTCAGGTAAGGCCACCCTTTGGCAAAATGGGACCTCCCTTTGTAGCTGGAATYAATCTCCTCGAAATGTTCAATACTGGAACAGTAAATGTCTGTTGTATGTTCACACTCTGATAATTAGTGCCAACTAGGAGGGTTCAGCTACCACTGGAGAGGTTATTGTCTTTAGAGAATGTATTCAGAAGAGTATTTCAAGCCTAATTAGATTTTTAGTGTTYGGGGCATTTCTTTTTTTTTCCTAGGCCACCCACAACTTAAGCCAAAAAGTTCCAATTCTCCTGCATGTTAAGGAGGAGGTTGCAATTAAAGGAAGCACCAACAGTGGGAGAGAGATTTCACAGTTGATCTTACAGCCAGAAGGGAACAGTGAATCAAATAATCTGATTCTCCATATTTTGAATTTCATTCCATTCCAACTGTGYTGAATGCAACAGTTCATATTTAGCTGTGAGGAACCTTCCCGAGAGGCATCTAGACTTGTCCTGAAGACACTGAAAAGAGGGGACTCTGCTAAAAAATCACTTGCACTGTTAAAAATATYGCTTATTTCTGATTTGAATTTGACTTGTTCCAGCACTGATTTTTATATGCTTTTTTTTCCCTTCCCATAGACTAAAGTCTTTTTTAGTACTCTGTATTTTCTCCTATTGGAGTCGCTATTTAGTGTAATATCCAACTTTTTTTTCTTTTTTGATGAGCTAAACAGGTCAAGTTCATTAAGTCATTCATTTTAAGGCATTTTTCCCAGCTTTTAAATGGCTTTATGGCCTCCTTCCAATTCTTAGCTTTGCTTTAGGTGTGCTGGATTCCAGAGCTAGACACCATTCCAACATCTGCAGTACCAGTGCCATATAAACTGGTGAAGTCATTTCCCTACTGCTACTCATTAGTCTCTTTCTCCATCCAAGAATCTCATTAGCTATTTTTTTTGGACGTATCATTAAACTTGATTGAACTGCTTTTCCATGTTGTCTAAGTCCTTTTCAGGATTATTGTCTTTCAGGATCCATCCCCATTTTCTAGATATGCCCTGAATTCCTTTCTCTTAGATGTATAATTTCAATCTTGACTTTGCTCTGTCACATTTTGAGTGGACCAAGTCTGCCAGGAAATTAAATTTCTGTATCTGTTCATTATTTACCATTCTCCTTCTTTTTCTCTGGTATTTTGATGTAAATAATAGATAGGATTTGGCCCAACATTTGGAAAATATTTTTTATAGTCAAGTAATAGAAGGAGAGTCTTTGTTGGAAAGTACAGTAAAATATTAAATGAGTGGGCTGGCAAACGCAGTTTGGATCCATCTTGTTAAAATCTGAAAAACAACTCCCAAACCCAGTGAAAATTAAAAAAACATTTTAGATTTCATATGTTAATAACAATACTCTTTTTATAAAATGCCTTATTTTTAAACTGGATTCTTCACAGTAGTAAGGATATTACCAAATTGTGCAGTATTTTTGGGGTAACTGAATGAAATCTCCTACCTGATTGCAGTTCAGCAGGCCAATATAAACATAAACCTGACTGCATTGCTAGGGGCACAAATGCTAGTGCCGTACAGATGGAATTAACATAAATACAAATTCTTATTTTATAGGGTTTTATGAGCTGAGTGATGGAGCTTCTGGATCGCTCTCCAATTCGTCTAACTCAGTCTTCAGTGAGTGTTTATCCAGTTGCCATTCTAGCACTTGCTTTTGCAGCCCTTTGGAGGCAACACTGACTATCTCAGATGGACGCCCTAAATCTGCAGGTATAGTAAAAGCAGGTGGAATACGTCATACTCCAGGAGGTGGCTTTGCCTTTGGAAATACTGCCTCAGGAGTATCTGGGCTGGATTAACCCTTCTTCTTTTCATTGGATGTGCTGGGCTCTGAAAAGATTCCCGTGCCTATCACGTACATGTGTCATGGGGCAGGACCATTTCTCTTCCACTCCTCCAGCCCTACACGCGAGTATGTCTCTCTAAACCCAMCAATGTACCATGTGAAAATTATCACAGCTGCACTACCCAGTAGAGGGCAGTGGTACATGCACACATAAACACATTAGTTGGCTGATTTTTCATCGTTTCCTTCAGAAAAGCTTTTTTCTTTTTTTTTTTTTTAATTTTTTTTTAATGAAATAGCAAGAAGGAAAGTTACCTAGCAACAGCTATATGATATAGATATATAGATGAGACTTGGTCCTCATTAACATGATAGAGTAAGGTGCTAGCTACAGGTTTTACACAACAGGGTGCCTATGAGTCTGTTTGCAGCAGCCCTTTTAGCATTTATTGTGGTCCTCCACATGCAGGTGACTATGCTGAGGTGTGCTCTGCTTTTATGTGTTTAGACAAATAGACATTATGGACATAGAAAAAGGTTTTTGTCTCTTTGGGAAAGGGCCATTGGATTTTCATTGACACGAGGCCCAAGATGCAAGGCTTAGGTTGTGTGAGTGTTAAATAGGAAGACCTCCTCTGTCTGTTGTCCTGAAAGGAGATGCAAACAGGACCGTTGATCAATCCTTACTGGCTGAAGTTGCCACCACACTGAGTCAAAAGCCTTGGTTCATTCTGGGTTGTGGAGAATGCTCCTAATTATAATATCTCCAATTTCCATTCTGCTCTTCAAGGTTAACTTATAGTGAATTTTTGTGAGTCAAGAACAAAATAATTCTTCTAACCTAGAAGTGGGAAAATACAGCCTTGGATGCATTCATTCTGAGATGCTGAGAACTCCTCTAAGTTATCAGAGCAGCTTGAGGTAATTCAGCATTCCCTATTGTACGGTATTGATGATCTGCAAAAACCATACCTAAAAACGAAAACATGCACAAGGATTTCCAGCAGATTGTGATGTTTTCTTTTTCTGTATACATTGTGAAAATAAAAACTCTTATTAAACATAGTGGCAGACTTTTAGAGATGAATGTCACAAACCGTCATGTTTTTGGCAGCACTTCCTAACTGTGACATGGAATTTAGGAAATGCAGGGGAACTGTCAAGTTATCTGCAGGAAGTTCCTCTTCCTGTTCTTCCCCTCCTCAAATACCTATTCTTCCTTTCCTGCCCTCCCAGCAGCACCATCACAATCAGCTGCTTTCATCAAAGTCTGTAGCACCTCTTCGAAATAACTCTCAGTTAAGTGACAAGCGCTGAATGTTCAAGTTTGTGTACCCTGGAGGAAGCTTTTGGTCCAAGCAAAGAAAACAGGACAGCAAGAGGTCCAGAAGATCATTTAGATTATCTCCCTACCCCAAACAAGATCAACTTGATCTTAGAGAAATAATAATCTGAGGTGCATGGATTGAAACCCTGCTCCTAAGGTTTTTTGTTTCCTAGTAAATGCTATAGCCTTTAAACTTGACTTATGCATCTCAAAAAACACTGAATTTCTGTTACAGAACTATCTTTGCAGGGCTAAAGCTAGGGATGTCAGCTCTGTTGACCTGCACTYCTTGTACTTGTATGGACCTCAGTGTTTCATACAGGTTCTTCTGTAACCACGAGAGACCATTACAGACCTCTGAGTGGCTTGGGTGTAAAACAGGAAGCTCTTTACAATCTAGGCACAGTTTTAGAAGAAATATGAATGCTCCCATCTGGGCTGAGATTTTTATCTTTTCACCTATGTAGTTATACTGGGACAAATCCAACAGAGATAGACCCTAGAAGAATAGCGGTGCATTTATCACTTGAACTGTGTCCCTAGTTTCAAGGTTTCTACTGCTCAAGCAGCTCTACTGTAGTTAACACGATATGCTGTACGTGTGAACGAGGCCAGAGGCTTTGCTAGCATGTGAAAAACATAGCAGGATTGTCACCAGGAGGATCTCTAAACTCTTCTAAAATGCCTTTCAGATCTCATAGGCTGGATGGATTATAATAAGGAAGGCCAACATGAGGACCAGACTGCAGGCTCTGTCTGTTGCTCTTTGTCCACACCGCACTCAAATTCCCTCGATGTCGTTGCAGATGTACATCCAAAATACCAGTGTGATCTGGTGTCTAAAAACGGGAATGACGTCTACCGGTACCCCAGCCCACTCCATGCGGTAGCTGTGCAGAGCCCCATGTTTCTTCTCCCGGTGACTGAAAACCCCCAGCGCGAAGAGGAGAKACTTGGCTGTGATATTAGTGACGCTTGCGTCGGATCGGAATCGGACTCAGGAAAAGTAGCCAATACCTTTCTCCCACAGAGCTCCTGGCCCGCACCGGGCCCTTCCTCCAGCAAGAGGATAGATGGTTACATCTTAAGCCTGGTTCAGAAAAAGACCCATTCTGTAAGGACTAATAAACCAAGGACAAGTCTCAATGCTGACCCCACCAAAGGGATTTTGAGGCATGGAAGCATGTGTGTGAGGCAGCCCRCTGCGGTGGTTTCACACACCAGCATTGTGAACCTGAAGAATTCGAAGCAAACGTGCTTGCATTCCGGTGGAACAGCTGCCGCGGACAACGCGGTGTTCTCCCCGGTAAAGCAGAGGCCGAAGGAATCAAGTGGCGAGCAGCTGGAGAGTAGGAAGATGCCTTTGCCGGTGGCTTTCCCACCCAGCACAGGGAGCGAACTTCCAAGCAAGCGGGGYGTCAAACCGGTGCCTCCAGAGCTAAGTCAGAACATGGCAGCTCCAGGGGGGGACATGCCCAAGGAAAATGGCCAGCTCTTTGCCACGGCTCCTAAAGAGAGCCCGGGCAAGCCAGTGGTGTTGCAGCCGGAGAATAAAGTCAGTCAGCCTCCCAAAAAAGTCCTGCTGAAGAGCAGCATGCAGGTGGCTCACTCCACATCTGCTCCTCCTGTTGAGGAGAGGCCTTCCCTGGATTTCAAAAGCGAGGGCTCTTCCTCACAGAGCCTGGATGATGGGTTACTGGTGAACGCCCAATACATACCGGCCCAGCAGCAGAGCATTAAGCTCCACAAAGGCACCAAAAACGTCAAAATTTTGAAAAGCTCTACCATGAAACACAGGCCCCACCTCATCAACGGGCTGGAAAATGGCTCTCAGACCTTGAGGGAGAAAAACAAATCGGTCAGCAAGAAATGTCGCTTTCCTGATGAATTGGATACAAATAAGAAACTGAAAAAGCCCTCTTCAAGGGGGAAGAGAGGCAGCGGTTTGCCATCAGAGTCCAGCCTCCAAAGCAGGCCGTCCGGCCTACATAAATCCGTAATCCGGTCGCATGGACATGGCCGAGAGGTCGTGGTGGCCAAACCTAAGCACAAGCGGGCCGACTATCGCCGGTGGAAGTCGTCGGCGGAGATCTCCTATGAGGAGGCCCTGCGGAGGGCCAGGAGGAACCGCAGAGAAGCTGTGGGAGTCTACTCGCAAGTGCCCCTGCCTTACGTGAGCCCGTACGCCTACGTAGCGAGCGACTCGGAGTACTCAGCCGAGTGCGAGTCCTTGTTCCACTCCACCGTGGTGGACACGAGCGAGGATGAGCAGAGCAATTACACCACGAACTGCTTTGGAGACAGCGAGTCTAGCCTGAGCGAGGTGGAATTTGTAGGGGAGAGCACTACCACCAGCGACTCGGATGAGAGCGGGGGTCTCATTTGGTCTCAGTTTGTGCAGACTCTCCCCATCCAAACGGTCACAGCTCCAGAGCTGCATGAAAATGCAGCAAAGGCCTTTGTGAAAATCAAAGCCTCCCATAACCTCAAGAAGAAAATCCTTCGCTTTCGGTCGGGCTCTCTGAAGCTGATGACAACGGTCTAGTGAAGTGACTTGGCGGAATGTATCTGTTTCTGCTTTTGGAAGCAAGGTGCTTTTGTGTACATATTTTCACAGATTTTTTTTTTTTAATATCTATACAAATATTTAAAACTTAAGATAAATTATGTCACTTGTCTTCAGAACTTGGGTGGATACTAGTGCCTTTTAAGTGGAAATAAAAGACAATTATACTAGTTTTTAAAAAAATAACACTGCCATTTCAGTGGTGAACAGCCTCCAATGCATAGTATCAGAGGGCTTTGAAGAAAAGGTTAATGTTCCCAAGAGTTAATATTCCTAGGTTTTCAGTGCTGGGTCTTTTGCAGGATATCAAYGATGTGTGGTCATAAGTTTTTAGGGAAAAAGAGGGAGAGAGTGTGGGTGGTCTTAATGTTTTTGCTTGTTCCTTTCTGCTGCTCCTGTTGCCACATCTTGAATTTGTTTCACCTGACAGTCTGGCCTGTTTTTTCATTTGCTGATTCTCTTCTTGAATCTCGTCCTCATCCACCCTCAACCTTCTCCCATAAGGAAAAGGCTCCTGTTCAATCTATCTCTAAGGTTAAATTGCCTTCTCTGGAGTGCACTCTGCTCCTGTTTCCTGGGAGTCCCAGTATGGACTGTGGTGTAGATCAGAATAAACTGTTGGAGCAGCTGACCAAGGCTTAGTAACTTCAGTATATTGTGTAAAATTGCTTTAAAAAACAAAAAAAAAAGTGCATGTCATGTGCATGAGTATCAGTAGTTTTAATATTCCTGTTGATGTCCAATTTACTGTACATCATCAATGGCTGTTTTTTTATATATATATATATATCATTGTGTAAATTAATATAACACATCATATGCTGTAATAAACAGTCTGTTTTAATAGTTTTTAAAAGTTTGTTGCATTGGTGCATACCCAGTCAATGGTTTTGTATCAGTGTTGTCACTACTTAGGTAACTCTTTAATGTGGCCTGTTAACATTTCGCTGGAATTTAGTCATGCAGGAAATGGAGCAAGTCTAAAATGTTGCTGTGGCTTGTGTTTTGAGGGAGCTGGCTAGTCATGGCTCCTCTTGTTTTTCTAGTAACTTGCATTTTTTAATGGGCAAGATGTAATTTGGGAGCTGAGAGACATCTTCAGGTTGTTGCTTATGGGCAGCTCATGTTTCAGAGCAGATGGAAATGTAACATTAATCCTGCTTGCGAGCAGGGTGCTTGCAGACTTTGGATGGGACAACTGAAGGGCAGATGGCAGRTTTCTGTAACCAAACAGATCTGTGTAATGTAGCAGGTGTCCCCCAAAACAACCAGTAAATGAATCCCCCGAAGTGATGTAGTCTGGAAGCTGGGCTGGGTAGAGCGGTGTAGACTTGCTCTCTGTGATGCCCACCTCAGGCCTGGTGGCTGGCATGTTAGCTCTAGCATCCATGAGATGTTGGTCTTCTGCTCAATGCCCTATTTCAGGTCTGTGAGTGCTCCTTGATCCTGCCTGGATCAAGTTGTTGATGTAGTGGAGGAGAAGCAGAAAGGGTCCTTGGTTCATCCAGACTTGCAGCAAGTTGCCTGCTGTTCTTCTGCAGCTGCTTTCCTTGCCTTCACTATGTCATCGTGATGAGGGCTTAAGTTTAACTCTTTTACCTTTTAATCTGCACATTGCAATGGATCCCTTCCTATAAAATTTCTCTCCTGTATTTTTTCTTTTTATAATGGAGTAACATCAGTTTCTGTAAAGATTCATATGTTATGATGAGAAGGTTCTGGATCCAGTGACCCAGAAAGTCCTTATCATCCCGTCACTCGTGATATAGCAAAGGCTGTAGCTCACCCTAGCTGTTATTAACTCTCCCATTGCTTTACTTATGGAAAGGCATGTTTCACTAGTTTATATATCTGTATCTCCCCACTACATACACATAAACATATATATTTATAAAAATAATTTGTCCAAGAGTTACTGGACGTTGGCTACTACTATGGAGAGGGGAGAGAAGAAATGTGTACTGTTAAACGGGCCATTACTGAGACTGATTGGGAGCTTAATACATTCCCATTAATAATTGATGGGTGTTATATCAAACAAAGGGAGCATCAAGAAGCTTGTCAAAGTGAGAAGCTTCTTTCCAAGAATGTCTCTTAATCATGCCACACGATCTCTCTTAGAGCAAGACAAACACGTGCAAATCCCTGTAAATCTCCTCAGAGGTTTAGCAGAATAATAGCAAGGGGTCTGCAGAAGTGCACTCCGTCTCTGTGGCCATGAAGGAATTGCTGCTGGGAGGAAAAACTGGCCGGGGGCTTTGGAATGATGAGTTTTTATTGCAGAGCTGTAGTATATTGTCTCATACCAGCTGAAGGAGGCCGTTTTCCAGAAGTGTGTTGCTGAATAGCTCCTTTTTAGACGATTGAATGAAATGAAAAAGAGGAAGAAAATAACTACCCCAATATTGCTGAGAGTATCAGCTGCAACCACCACATTCTGCAGTACTCTCATGGAATGGCTTAATACCAGATGGGGAAATGCACTGATGCTATCTCTATCTTAATTGCATTTGCGTCGTTTCAGCTTGGTGAAGGACTTTTCCCTTTCTTACAGGATTTAGGTAAGCATCCAGAATCCTTTAGCTAGGTCCATTTTTTTTCCTTCTCACTTCCCTCTTTCTTTTTTAAATAAAAGATCTTACAGTGCTGGAAAAGCMCTTGATAGGGTCCCAATGCACAGACTCTATTCCCTTCTCTGGCTCTGATTTAGGAAGCACAGCTACGTTAATATATATATWTTTTTTTTGCCATGTTAGTGCAAAAAACATCTGCTAATCTCGGGGACCAGTTAAATATTTGGCACTTCTTTAAGCTACCTGGCTTTCCACCTTCAGTGTCTGGAGTCCTCACCACTGTATTTCTTATAACGTTCACRTTTTAACTATCCCCACTGTTTATGGCAGTCTTTGGAAGTCTGGACCAGAGACATTTGTCTTTGGTGCGTGGGGGCAGCAAGGTGGAGGCAGGTTGTGATGGGCGATTCGGGATAATTTTCCCCCTGCTCCATACATAAATGAGTGCCTCCAGGTACTGAAGGACACGTGCAAGCTGATGAACAGGAGYAGTTCCAGCTGGATTCCCTACAAGTTGGATTTTATAGTGCAGATGTCCATCTCCGAGCGCCCTTCTCCCCCTGCACAGGAATCAGCAGCCTGTAGGGTCAAGGCTGCTCTCATCTGAGCAGTAAAAGTCTGGTTTCCAGTGGGCTTTTTTKGGGTCTGTCTCTTGCTTGGTGACCCTGGTCAGCAGCTGCGGGCTGAGCTGTGTCTGGCATGCGTGGGGTCAGACGGAGGCCCTGGCGTTGTGCCGAGTCATCCCAACTGCGCGAGGCCCCTCTYGTGGACCTCTCACTTGTCGTGAGAAATGTGACGTTTCCACGTCACAAGGATCTGGGGACAGCTGGGGCAGAAGGAAGGTGGCAACAGAGAGCCCCAGAAATGGAGTGGTCTCATCCTGATTTATCTGTATTTCCAGGAGAAGACCCATCGTTGGGCTTTGGAGGGAATCTGTCCATCTTTCCAGCTTTGGCCCAGGGTTCATCCTGGACAAGGACTCACAAACATTCTCCAGAACAGAGCCCTGTGCCTTTGCACATCCCCAAATCTATGTGTTTGCTGAGAAATGTCTGAGCTCCTCCTGTGGTAGACTGTAAAGCAGGCTCTGAGGTTTTCCAGGAAGGACAGCAAAGGTTTTTATTAGCTGTGAGCTTCCATCCAGCAGACAAAGCTTTACAGCAGCAATGACTTCTCTCCAAAACGTGATTTTTTACTCAGAAGAGAATGAGGACGCTAAGATTTTGAAGAAACAAAGACAGGTAAGGATGTTTTGAATAGTGACTCAACATCCAGTAAATAATTTTGGAGCAATTAACCGTAATATACACAACTGAGCTGCTAGTATAAAAGAAAAAAAAACGTTCTTAACTCTTAACAACGTAAAGCAAAATGCACTTTTCCAGTTCCTGTGCAATACAGAAYGAATACCAAGACTGCAAAGCAATGGAAACAATTTGCAAAGCCCAGGCCTGCCTTCAAGTCTGCTTTTTCTCTGAATTGGTCTCAACTGTATTGAGACCCTTTGTATAGCTGGKTTTTTTTTAACTCAAAACTTTATAGGTTAAGAACTACAGTTTTCCCAGAGCAATTGCTCTGGGATTTAACAATCCCCAAATGCTAGAATGAGGGGAAACTAATGGAAATAAGTAGATCATTTTAAAGGGGATAACAGAAAATAYACTTTTTTTACACAAGTGGTGAACTTTTGGAATTGACCTTCACAGGATGTACTGGGGAAGATAACATATCAGCAGGTACAAAGAAGTTAGACAAATTCATAGTTAACAGGTATTCTAGTGAACAGGTTGGGATGATGTGTAGCATCCCATGGCTGCGGATGCTGGGAGGAGTGTAGTGCACATGGACTGCAGATAGTGGCCAGGCTTATGTGTTTGCTCCCAAAAATGGTCTTTTCTGYCACTGTTGAAGCACCATTAGCTGGTGGAGTTGCACCACTGCACAGGCCCTGTAGACCTTTTCATACATCCCTGTGATCCTGGAGATTCCTGTGATCTTAGTGTAGCTCATATGAAGCTACACATTTCAAGTGTAGCTTTAAGCAAAGCTTGATGACCTCCAGCCTGAARAAACAGAGAGAAGGACTAGATGAGGTGAGCATCTAGTACATACTGTGTAGGGGCTTAAAGAAGTTTTATCTCCCTCTGACTGTGTATAGATTAATGCTGTCCTTCGGAGCAGTGGTTCAGTTTGGAAGTGAATCCGCATTGATKTGCACTGCAGAACCATTTTGGTGCATGCAAACTAGACATCTTTAGGGATGCTCACCCAGATGCGYTGTTCCAAGACTATGGTAAATGTGCCCCTACCTGGACTGGGAACATAAGAGCTTGAACCAGCTCAACATGAATGTACTGGAGACATTTGGTCCAAATGACATTGGGGACCAGACTACACCTGGACTGAAGTAAGTACCTGAATTGAGTGTATTGTACTTGTAAGGACCTCAGTTTGGATCAGTTCTTGTCATTCCAAATAACTTGCTAATGTAAGCAGAACCTCTAATTTAATGGCCTTTCTTTTCATTCTCTTTTCCTTTAAGATTAATAAAATATTACCTTTAATAGTTTGATTTCTCTCAGCCAAAACCTGAATATCTGGCTTTATTTTTTTAATTATTTTTTTTTATAGAATTTGGAATTGAAAGTCACTGGAATGAAGGTGTTCATGACAGTACCGAAGGAAAATCTGTGTGATTTGGAGTTAGATCTCATAATGCAGTAGTTCTGCAAACAAATAGGTATTTCTCCCCCGAAAAAGGTTCAAATCTTCTATAGCTCAGGACATGAGCCTGGAAATTAGGAATGATCTCTACTCACTACCTTRCAACAGATATGCTCCCTGGTTTGCCATGCACTGTGAGAGTACTGCATCTTCAGAAATGGGATTTTCTGGAGAAGGTAGGAGGGGAAAGCACGAGGTACGGAGATGAGAAGGAAATAATCTTAATCGTGGAAGTACTCATGCAGGAAGTGCTTAAAACATGTGATAAGGGCATTCTGACTCAGCAAAGCATTTCAGCACATGCTTTGGATGCTTTGTGGTTAGGGGTGAGTTAAGCACATGCGCAGGAGTGCTGGTGGGTCAAGGTCTTAGGCTTGTTTTTGCAAGYGTCCCAAGAAATGCCTGTTTGTGCAAGCTCTCCCAATGACTTCTATTGGATGATGCTGGAAGACCTC